GAAAAGTTGGCCTCAGGAATGGTTTTAGTTCTGGGTTGACAGAGCCTGGGGACCATACTTTCTGGGGATCCTCCAGTCTCAGTCAGACCATAAAGTCTGGTCTATTTACTAGAATTTGAGTTCTGCTCCCCACTTTTCTTCTGCTCCATCAGGAACTCTCTGTTGTGCTCCCTGTCAGGGTGGTCACTGGTGGTAGTCGGGCACCATCTAGTCCTTCTGGTCTCAGGCTGATGGATTCTTTGGTTTATATGGCCCTTTCTGTCTCTTCAGCTAATATTTTTTGTGTGTCTTTGATGTTCTTCACTCTCCTTTGCTCCAGGTAGGTTAGGACCAATTGATGCACCTTAGATGGATCACTAGCTTTTAAGACCCCAGACGCCACTCACCAAAGTGGGATGCAGAATATTTTAATAAACTTTGTTATGCCACTTGACCTAGATGTCCCCTGAAACCATGATTCCCAGACCCTTGCCCCTGCTACTCTGTCCCTCAAAGTGTTTGGTTGTATTCAGGAAACTTCTTAGCTTTTGGTTTAGTCCAGCTAAGCTGACTTCTCCTGTAGTGTGTGCTGTCCTTACCTTCACCTAAGGTAATTCTTGTCTACTATCTAGTTAGTGAATACCCCTCCCCACACTTGTAACCATCAAAGAATGTTTTCTTCTGTGTTTAAACCTTTTTTTGAGTTCTTATAATAGTGGTCTCATATATTTGTCCTTTTGCGACTGACTAATTTCACTCAGCATAATGCTTTCCAGCTTCATCCATGTTATGAGATGTTTCGCAGATTCATCTTTGTTCTTTATCCTTGCGTAGTTCCATTGTGTGAATATACCAAAATTTGTTTATCCATTTGTCTGTTGATGGGCACCTAGGTTGTTTCCATGTTTTTGCTATTGTGAACAGTGCTGCAATGAACGTGGGTGTGCAAGTATCTATTCGTGTGATGGCTCTGATTTCTCTAGATATATTCCAAGGAGCGAGATTGCTGGATCGTATGGTACTTCTATTTCTAGCTTTTTAAGGATGTGCCAAATTGATTTCCAAAGTGGTTGTACCATTTTACATTAAGAAGGGCTATGTTTTCAATATTCCCAGTGCCCACCCCATTGACAGGAATATGGTAGTTTATTAAACGTCTGTTAAAAATAAGCCTTTCTTAATTTCTAGTTTTCATGAATAATGAACAGCCAGGTATTTTCTGAATTCCACTCTTCATTTCCATTGAAAATCCCTAGAAATCTATTGCTTATGTTATATGATAATGACACTTTACAATTTGATAGTATTTTGTAAATAAAAAGAGGAAGAAGAAACTTGCTCATATAATCACTCTATTTGATCTTCACTCTTTTTCCACACTGGCCTTCTTTCACTCCTTCCAATTTGCTGTTTTCCCTCCTAACACAGGAGCTCTGTATAAGCAGTTCCCTGTACCTGGAAAACGCTTCCTTCCCCTCTTCTCCTAGTTAAACTCTCATTGGTCGCCATTCAACTCAGTCATCTTTTCTTCAGTCTTTCCTGACCTCCCTGACTTAATCATCACCCCCAGCACCCCATCTTAAGCATTTAGTAACTCTTGTTATTGACACAAGTTTCCATTTGTTGTTGTAATTACTTAATTGACATCCATCTCTCCCACTAGGCTTAGGCTCTGTGAAGGTAAGGACCACCTCTATTTTAATTCACCTTTATATCTACAATGTCTGTTTAGAGTGCCTAGCACATAACTATTGTTGTTGTTAGGTACTATATATACATATACATAAACCCGTTGCTATCAAGTCAGTCACGAATCATAGTGACCTTATAGGACAAAGTAGAACTGCCCGATAGGGTTTCCAAGAGCGGCTGCTGGATTCAAACGGCCAACCTTTTGGTTAGCAACCGAGCTCTCAACCACTACATCACCATGATCGTGTTAAGGAACTATTCATTATTTCTTAGTACATTGAGTATTTTTTTGCCATCAGAATGGTTATTGAATTTTTATCAAATGCTTTTTGGCCTCTATGGAGATTAAAAAAAAAAAACAAAAAACTGAACCCGTTGCTGTCGAACTGATTCCCACTCATAATGACCCTACAGGGCAGAGAAGGACTACTTCATAGGGTTTCCAAGGAGCAGCTAGTGGATTCCAACTGCTGACCTTTTGGTTAGCAGCCATAGCACCCCGTACCTCTTAACTCTGTGCCACCAGGGCTCCATTAATATGAAAACATATTAATGGATTCCCAATTTTGAAAATGCCATCATTTAAAAAGTTAATTCTTATTAATAGAAATTATTAACAAATAAAATAAATAGAAGAACTGTGGCTATTTCTATTTACAGGTGATATAATATTATACCTGAAATATACAAAAGAAACAATGGAAAAACTATATATAGTAAGAGAATACAGTAAGATATCAGGATATAAGATTAATCTATAAAAATTAATAGTCCATAGTACAAACATGTTAAAATATATCATGTAAGAAAAGAATCTCAACTTCTAAAAATAACAAAAAATATTTTAATGTGCTATCAA